TTTTTATTTTTAATAGAACAAGAAAATTCATCTGCAGAGCAAGTAGAACAAATACAAAATAGTCCAAATAGTAATAATGATGATAATAATAATACTAAAGTGAATGAATTAAATGAAGATAATGTAATGAAAAATTTAAATAATTCTCAAAATGATTATGGAAAAGAAGAATTAAAGAATGGAGAACACCAAGATACTAAAAAAGAAAAGAAAACTCAAGGGGATAAGGTATTCTTTTTATATTTAAGATACTTTGTGATCATCAAATATGCATACTATTACATTTTTATGGACGAGATGGCACACTTACAAATGAATCTGATAGCTTAATGCTAAACTAATAGTAAATGTTAGTTTGACATTTGGAATTTTTATTAATAAATGTCAAATATGCATTGATTTTAGCAAATTCTATGAATATAGTATTTAATAATGCTATTTTCTGTAATTTTTTTAATTAATTAAATTTATACAATTTTAGATACATTGATTAATACCTTCTTTTTGTAGTAAAATTTGATTTAATTGTGCCATCATGAAAATTTAAAATAATTATTTTACTTGCTATTTTTAAAAAGTATTTTTAAAACTGTATTTAATTTAAAATTTAATATTTTTTTAGATTGCTGAGGAAGATACAAATGAAGAACCAGTCACTTGTCCAATATGTAATAAAGTATTTGAAACAGCTCATAATTGGACTGTTCATGTTCGGCAACATAGTAATAGTGACAACAGCCATTGTTGTCCTCTTTGTGGTAAAGTTTTGAGTTCTTCTAGTTCTTTGGATCGGCATATGCTTGTTCATTCTGGAAAAAGACCTTTTAAATGCAGATATTGTGAGATGGCTTTCACAACTAATGGAAATATGCACAGGCATATGCGTACTCATAGTGAAAATGATGATCCCAATGAAAGCACAAAGATAATTAAGGAACCAAAATTGAAAAGAAAATATAACTCCAATGATTCCATTCCAATTTTAGCAAAAAAATGTCATACTGAAGAAATTAATGAAGATCAAGAAAAATTATATTGCCCTGTTTGTGGTAAAACATTTCTATGCAGTTATGGTCTTCAGACTCATATGGACACACATCCCAATGATCCTATTCAATGCCAAGAGTGTGGTGACATATCAAGTAATTACAATATCTATAGGAAACATAAGTGCTGTGCTATACATGAAAAGAAGGAAGATACAAAGCCTAAAATGAATAATAATATAGTACCTGTAGGCTTTCAAGATCTTACATTTATTGATTTTTCTACAAAAAAATTTTCCTTAATTGCAAAATCCTTCTGTGAACATAACAGACGACGTCCAAGTAGTGCCTTTCATACATTTGAATGTTTAAAATGCAAAAAAGCTTTTCCCTGTGGTAGTGCATTAAATCTTCATGGAATTATGCATAGAAAAGCATCTGGAACATATTGTCCAAGCTGCAACTGTGATTTTTTAACTCCTGCTTCTTTTCAAGTTCACCAACTGAAACATAGATCTGCAGAACATTGTTCTGCAGAAGATAATGGAAAAAAAGAAGCAACTGATGTTGAATCTAAAGATGAAAGAAAACAATCTGAAAAAGAAGATTTCTTGGCCTTATTAGAATTACAAAGTGAAGCCCATAATTTAAAATATTCTTTAACAGAACAAATATACCAAGAAAAAGAAGATACATTTGAAAGCATATCTTACTTTACTCATGGAAAAGTAGAACCTTCATTACAAAAAATGAATGTGAAAAATACCAATGGTGATTTTGCTGATGTACAAGAAATAATAACCGTTACTGCTAAATCTTCCTTTTTAAGTGATATTCAAACAACACCTGTTGCTGTTTCTCCTGCTTCACCAAATCAGAACTTGGTTTCTGTTTTACCAGAATCTCCTTTAGTAGCTGATTCTGCAAGTCCTGATACTCCGTCCAAAGAAGAATGTGACCATCCGTCATCAGTTAAAGCTGTTATTTGTGAGGGTTCAGCTTCTATGTCAAATATTAATTCTGTTGAAAGTTTTTCTTGTTCATTTTGCAAGCAATCATTCAAAAATTCTAAAGGTCTTAAACGTCATAATAGATTACATAAGCAAAACGGTTCTACTTTTACATGCCATTTATGTCCTTATAATAGTGTTGATAAAAGTACTTTAATTAGACATTTGCGAACACATAATGGTGAAAGACCATTTCAATGTGCAATTTGTAAATTTGCTTTTACAACTAAAGCTAACTGTGAACGACATGTTAGAAAAAGACATAAGAAAATAACAAAACAAGAAATTCGTAACTCTATGGAATATAATCCCAATATGTCTGAAGTAAACTCACCTGAAATTCTAATGCCAGAAGTATGTGGTTCTGCAGAAACTGTATGTAAATATTGCAATGTTAATTTTAAGTTTAATCGTGTTTTGCGTCATCATTTACGTTCACTTAATAACAGTTGCAGTAGAAAACCATTTTTTTGTAATATATGTAAACTTGGCTTTTCTACTAAAAATAATTGTATAAGGCATGTTCTAAGACAACATCAAGAAATGAGACAAAATTTAAATTCTGTTGTTATGGCAAATGTACAAAATGAAACAGCACAGCATGATTCACTTCAGTTTTCTGATGAACATTCACAAAATGAAATATTTGGCTCAACTTCTGAACCTTTAAATTTAACTACAAAATGTTTGCCAATATTGAATGAAACCATTGAAACAACCAAAGATGATAACATAAGCATGGAAGATGTTGTAAGTGCTGCAACTAGTCTAGTAAATTTATCACAACTTTGTCCACCTCAAGAAAAGCCACTGGATTTAGCAGTACATGCTTTGGATTTAAGAACACATTCCAGGGAAAGTTTAGAAAAGTCATCAAGGCCAGTTAGCATTTATAGTTTAAGTGAAGATCTAAATTTTAATTCATCACCACCTTCTTCATATTTTGAATCACCAACTACCCAGTTAATTTCAGAGAAAGTTTTTCCATCTGTGTCAAATGATTTGCAACCTTTATGTTTAGTTTCAAATACTATTTGTAATGCTGAAAGTCCAATTCCAGAAGTTAAGTCATGTAACATGACTTTCAAAATGGTTAATGAAAGACTATCATTTAGAAATCAGCGTGTACACACTTGTATGTATTGTACTGCAGGATTCACTTTAAAATCAAATATGGAGAGACATATCAAAAGAAAACATCCCGAATATGCAAGACCAACACGCAGCAGAAATTACATACCTACTTTAACATCACCAGGTATTCATAAACAAAGTGTATCTACATTATCAACAAAAACTAGAAATGCACTTCGAGAAGTTTTGAGTCACAAATCACATAATCTTCCTATAAGTCAAAATGATAAAACACAAGAATCACAAGTTATTACAGACGAAATAGAATCAAGGCAAAATTTGGTATCTGAAGACAATCATTCTACTGATATGCCTCAAATTCAGAAAACTGAAGAAAATAATAATAATCCATTTGATAAGATCCCTGATAAGAAAGATGATTGCCATCAAGATAATTCATGTGATGGTAAACCAGAAAATGAAACTGCTACTGATCTTGCAAGTGTCTCTGCTGTAATTGATACAGCAAATTCTCAAGAATTTAAGCAATATCTTTTAGAAGTTCACACTTCTGAGAAATGTGCAACACCTGAGAGTAGCAATAATGATGAAATACACCAAGAAGAAGTAAATTCTGAAGCTTGTTTATCCCCAGATAGCAATAAGAATGGTGGATCTGTAAAAAAACGTAGTTCTTACGCAGATTCACCTAATAGTGTAACATGTCCTTTCTGCTCTAGAAAATTTCCATGGTCAAGTTCTCTTCGTCGACATATTTTAACACATACTGGCCAGAAACCATTTAAATGTCCAAAGTGCCCAATTTATTTTACCACAAAATCAAACTGTGAAAGACATCTCATGCGAAAGCATGGTCACAATGGTGAAATAGTTCGAAGTGTGCCTGAGAGACCTTATAAATGCAATTTATGTTCTAGTAGTACCTTTTCAACTCAAGGAAATCTTAAAAAACATTGTTATGTTAAACATAAAGTAAAAAATTGTTCTGATCAAAAATTGAAGGAAGGATCAGATGGAGAAAGAAGCAGTGAAGATGGAAATGAAATTGATGAATATGATTTTGGGATGCAAGATAACAAAGACAATAATTCTGAAGAAAATAATTGCTTTTCTCTAGATTGTCGATTTTGTGATCAATCATTTACTGTTCTGCAAGATTTATTAGCTCATATTGCTGAACATACAGAGGCAAATCTTGTGTATAAATGTCATTTGTGTGATGATTCTTTTACAAAACGGCATGATTCAATTAATCATTTAAGAATTTCTCATACATCTGAATATGATTTGCTAGTAAATAAAGGAGTTATTATTGCTGAAAACAAAGACCTGGAAAATTCAGATTGCCTTAATTCTATTTCAGATCAGTCAAATAATAATAACAACAATAACAATAATGGAAACAAAGATGTTTTAGATTATAAAGTTTGTAAAGTTGTGTGTATTATTTGTTTTAGTAGATTTTGGTCAAATGGAGAACTGAGAAGACACATGAGAATACATACAGGAGAACGTCCATTTTCTTGCAATATATGTCAACGGATGTTTTCAATGAAGAACAGTATGCTTCGCCATCAGCATAAGCATTTCGTTAATTCAACTCAATCTAGTACTGATGATGAATGTGTTTCAGATCAAGCTTTACCAACATTGTCGCGATCAAGTCAAAACTCTTTACTGTACTTAATGTATGAAGACTTTCCAAATAATTCTCGCTGGAACTCAGAAAATTTGACAGATTCAACAGCAATAGTTCCTGTACAAGAAAAAACTAATCAGATACAAAGGGATCAAAGTGAAAATAATTCAGGAGATTTAATACAAGATCTTTTAGGTATAAATGATTCAAAAATAATGGATAAAATATTAGATTCAGCTGATTCTGCTGCTCGCCTGTTAGGAGTTAATGAAATATGTTAATATCAAAATAGAAAAATTGTTAGTTTATCTAAATGTTAAAATTTGACAAACATAAATATTATCACTTGAGTACTGATAATTTTAATGTTAGTCAGTATGTTAATAAAGAGGGACCAGAACATTTGATGAAAATATTTGAAATCCATTCTCAGGGATTTCTAAAGTAGCTCATATCTAATATAACTTGTCATTGCACTAATAGTAGAAATCATTGTATCATTGTAACATAGAAACTATAACAAACTACATTCTAATATCTGTAAATATAAAGGTTTGTAGTTTACATATAATAAGGCAATTATACATTCATACAAATCTTCTCTTATTTTTAAACATTTACATATAAATTGTTTCACATGATTATCATTCCACCATATTTTAAAGTTCCACAAAGAGCACTAACAATTTGCATTTCAATCAAAAAATTCATTCCTTACAATCCTTTTTTTTTTAATTGATATAGTTAGATCATAAATGACTTGAATACATTGAAATATAATAGTATTTGCATTATCAAATATGTCTGCTAGTATTCATATTTCATATTTTTTTTCTTTAGTTAGTATTTGGATAAAACTATCAGCTCTTTTTGAATAAAATAAGATTTTTATTAGTAATTCTTTTTAATTAGTTTACTATTGATAGAGTAGATTGAGCATAGTCTTTCATTAAAGTTATAATGGCTGAATGCTGTAAAATGTTACATTGATTCTTTTCTGAAATGAGAATAATTATTTTCAAAGTAAGAAATAATTTTTTGGACACAAGATTGATATAAATTTGATTAATAAATTGCTGTAATTAAAAATATCTAAAGATCTACAATTTAAATATTTTAATTGTTTAGATGTGATGTAAAGATAGTGTTGTCAACAACTATATGGACCTATGATTTACTTTGTATAAGGTTACTAATTTTTTATTTCAAAACGAGTAAAAAATTTAAATTGTCTAAGATATTAGAATTTATTTCATTATATCTTTCATACATGTTTTTTAAAATTGCAGAAATTTTCGTTAGACTAGACTTGGTGTTCCCTCTTTACTTTAGTGCAGCTATAGTATTTCCCAGAATAAGAATGGAGCCAATGTACTGGATCTTAAATGTGTATCACTCTGTTGCCATAGCAAAGCAACCAAAATTTTTTGAAACATATTTGAATTTTTGGAAAAGACTGAAAATTCAAACATCACATAATGTTAAGTTTTTGTTTTCTTATAATTTAAAATTTCCCACATAAATGTTGGAAATTTCAAGTAACTTTCAACAATTTTAAACTTATAATTTTCTAATATTTATTNTGAAAATATTTGCCAAAGAAACTGGATACTTAAATTTTTTATTCAGTCATTTGTTTCTGTAATCATTTTGCTAATGGGCAAATTGCCAGATTGTGTACAGTTTATGGTGAAAGACTAAAACTATGGTGTATTTATACTAAGATATTTATAACAGCTCAATATTGTAAGAAAACAAAACATAAAGCATTTAAATGAGTTATTTAATATTAATAAATGTACTATAAATTCAGTTTCTGAATTTATAGTACATTTATTAATATATACAGAACCTTCCAAAAAGAAAGAGTGCTACCATTTTTAAATTACTGTAATTATGTCAATTATTACCTGAAAATGATTTAATATATTTCCAAAACAAAACCCCAAGTTTTACACTTGTTTGTTACAATTCTTCAATTTGTGCACCACATGTCATATGACACATTTAACCAATAGTCAGTTTCTTCCCAGACTTGCTGCAACATATCCATAAATCTTTAATATGCTATAAAACATTGTCAAAGAATTTTATGAAAATATTTGCAGTCCTATAATTTGATTTTGCAGCTCCTGCAAATTCCTGGGCAGTGGTGGCACGTAGACAATATCTTTCACGTTGCCCCACAAGAAAGGTCCAGGGATATGGATTGTGGTGTCAGATCCATTGCCGAGAAAGCACATGATTCAAAACTTCCTGAACCTCCTGATGAAAATGAGGCAGAGCCCCATAATGCACAAAGACTTAGTAATGAGAATTTTGATAAATTAAGGAAACAGTCAGTTTTCCAGTTTGTCCAAGGATAAGAAGCCAGAAACTTTGTTTCTACAAAGATTGATATACATATCTTTGTTAAGGATATGGCATGGAAGACGTCAATAAAACTTGGAGAGTTTTTTGTTTGAAATACAGTATATTAAATCGTTTTCAGATTATGTAATCACAACAATTTAAAAATGTAGCACTCTTCTTGAAAGATCCTATATCTAATAAAATGTATTTTGTTAATTACCTTAATAGCTTAATTACCATTATCTTGGAATTGATTTGAATATATCAAGTCAAAATTAATAAGTAAATGTAGATATCACTTCTGTTTCACTAATTATGTAAATTTTGAGTAAAGCCAAAAAGTTTATATGAATTATCATGGGCTTCTGCAGAGGAGGACAAACGGAGCATTTGCTCCTCACTGGGATCTAGTCAAACATTCCCCAAATGATGATCGTAAAATAGATTGAGATATGTAATTTTATATACCAGTGTCGTCTTTAACGCATTGCCAACTTACCCAGGGCCCCACACTAATTTATGCACAAACCAGAATTTAATACTAATTCTCCGATATCCCGGCAATTGTGTTGGTAGGGCCCAGTGCACTGCTTTGCTGAGAGGCATACCCTCCGTTACATCCTCGTCATGGGATGCTATGTCTGTCAAAAAACCCGAAAAAAATTAAATACAAATTTCTGATGTAATTATTTGTCTCCAAGCTTTGCCCCACTGGAAAGTTTTCTGCCGACGCCCTTATTTCAGTGGCGTACCGTAGTGGGGGCGGCAAAATTATCTTTTAGGGGGCGGAAGAATTTCACAATAAATAATAATATCTTGTAAAAATTTGAAAGATCCTAATCTATACTTGCATCGCGCCTACGATAGTGCTCTCGTCCAGATAGTCCGGGAATCGGCTCGCCGTCCGGGTGAAGTAGTAATTTTTTCATCCGAGGAAATCCTGCGAAACCTATTGACCTTTTTTTCTTTTTTGCTTGTACGATGCATTCGCGTTCATATACATCACTAATATCCAATAGAACTATTTTAAACAGATCGCTGCACTACCACCGAATTTTTCATTTCTTGTTCTATGACAAAACTTAATTTTGGTCTTTTAAATTGAAATACAGTAGAACCTCCATTATTCGGATTTTCGATTATCCGGATTGTTCAAAATAAACAAAAATTTTACGAATTTGCTGATTTGCACTTGGCGAATTACGACACTGTTTATGTACGTGATGGAATGCATAACTTTTTTGTTTCAACAACGTCTCACCCATCACAGTGGTCGTAAACTCTTAAATATATTTTACGTAGTAATAAAAATATAACTTGACATACGTATTTATAAATAATTTATATTCAAATTACATCATTTCTATGACCAAGGGCGGCGTAAGGCATGGACGACGTGGGCCACCGCCTATGCCTCGCGGTCCGAAGGGCCTCGCGTCTCGAAGGTTTATGCATTACTTAAAAGCCGCGAACGCGACGAAAAAATTTTACTCGTCATAAAACGATAAATAGTTTGTCAAATTTTTATTCATAAAAATGCAGTTTCAACTGCTTTTTATTTTATAAAATCCGTCTTCTTGCGCCACCAGAGGGCCTTTTAAACAATAGGTAGTCTGTTAGCGTTGGTCAGTAGTAGTCCAAATTCAATACGAACGTTTGTTTCTTGAAAATTTGATCACGATTTAAATACAGTATTTACTTTTAATATTACCGATATGTCATCGAAAAGAAAACGTGTTGTATTATCATTAAAAGACAAATTAAAGTATTTGTTTCGATTATCCGGATTTTTCCTTATCCGGACTACCTTCATCCCCAATTAGTCCGGATAATCGAAGTTCTATTTGTACGTAAATAATGGGGCGGCGAAATTTTCCTCCGCCCCGGGCGGCTAACACCCACGGTACGCCACTGCCTTATTTTGCATATATATGATGATATACATTATAATGCCTACTTATTTTTACTTTCCCGGCTCTATTATATGTAACAGCATGTATGCCAATCGGTAAAAAATTACCAAGATTTTTTACATTTTTAGACCCAGGACTTTGAAATGTCGAAAAACGCAAAAAAATTCGGGTTTTTTTTATGTATGGATATGTGGGTTTTTAAAACTCTTTCCGCCCCGTGGGTACTAGGAGGGAGTCTTTTATCAGGCCCATTATGAGTTCGGTCAAACCCACGACGGGGCGGCCGAGTGGTGAAGGACGGGGCCCGACATATCCGTACGGACCACACCCCGAAAAATTCCTGGGGATTATTTGATCCGTTTGAGATTCGATCCCGGTCCTCCAGAGGGGTAGGTTGCCACCTTGACCGCTCGGCCATCCAGCTGTCATAGATTATGAATGGGTGGAACGATTTTGTTCGCCCATTTTAAAGCTTAATCCCGTATTTTTCATTAAAAATTTCTGAAAATTTTCAAGGAGGTTTGTGTATTAAGAGGATTGATGCCATTAAATTTTGGTGGTTAAAGGTCGAGGGAATTAGAAGATAGAGGTGGCCGTGTGTCTTATCTCAAGTAGGATCGGACCTAACGAAGAGTTTATACGTAATTACAATTTTTTTTTTTTTTATAAAACTCGTCTTTACCTCAAAATTAAGTTTTATTGCCATTTTAGAATAATTAATTATGTAAAAAATTTTTTAAATAAAAATATCATAACAAATGGCGCCACACAGTTTTAATATCGCCAAACTTTTAATTTATAAATATTTTTAATAAAATTTTACCATTCGTTTATTGCTATTTTTAATTTTTTTAATATTTATTTTTAAAAGTAAGTTTTGATTTCGTCGTAATTTATATTTTTGACGAAACTTCTGCCGGTTTGAAGGTTGGCAACATTACAGAAAATCAAAGAGCAAATGGCAGAAGCTTTGTTATAGATTAGAATCGTTTGATTGACGTTTTTTCGTTTGAGTTGCAATTTACAGTTAAAACCGAAAATGGTAAGTTATAGTTACATTTACTGACATTTATCGTATGTTTTTATATTTGTTTTACAATATTTAAGTCAATTTGTTCCAATAGACTAAGTTTGTAATATAAATTCTGCACGAGAAATAGGAGAAAAACGTGACTTCAACATAATATGTAATTGCTACGACTATTACCAATTGAGATTGTTTAGGACCTGTGGAAATACTTTACAAAAATAAAAATGAATTGAAATAATAAATTCATTTTTTCCTTATAAAGTACAGGTAGAGCCTTCGGTTTACGCCGCCGTTCCGTTCCTACAAAAGCCGGCGCAAATCGAATCGGCGTAAAATGAACCCATATTTACAGTGAGGTATAGGTTAGGTTCTACATAAGTGAAAGATAAGCAAATAATTTTGTTTATTAATACAATATAATACAAAATACATATAAATTTAATGTTTAAAATATATTTTATCATAAAATAAAGTGAAATGTTTTTATTAAAAAATTTTAGTTTCGGATCTCTTACATTTTTCGGAAAAAATATTCATCTTTAATTGTTTACGTTTTTGTTTTCTTTCATTAAGAATTTTAGAAAATGGTCGAATGGATGCAATGATGCTCCTTTTTACATTTACACTTTGCTCCCAATCATTGTCCAACTCACAAAATTCATCCGTCAAATTTGCCATAGTTGAAAGGATACATTAACCCGACCTAGAGCTACAGACGAGCGGAGACACTGATTGGTCGACCACCGGTCACCATAGTGCATATATAAGGTCAGTTTGAGTGGGAAAATTGAAGGTGGCTAAGGAGAGATAGATATTGTCTGGCCAACAAGAAGTAGATTTGTCTCACTAATGATAGTTTGTGATTGCCAGAAGTGCTACTGTGTCATAACGTGTTTTCTTGAAAGAACTGATACGGGATACATTTGTTGGCACTATGGATTCAGACGCCATTTATTGGACTATTAAGTTTAATAATTTGACTCGTGGGTACCTAAACGTTTAGTATTTTAATATTAATTTAATGCAAATATATACATACCCAATAATACTAAACAGAAAAAATAAATATATTCAATAAAAATCTTTGTTTTAACGAATATGCACTGTTGTGGCTTGGTAAATACGTCAACACTGAAATGAATATCTAGCATAGGGAAAATCGAAGAATTACACCGCAAAACGATGAATTGTGCAGCGACGTTATTGTGAATTGGCGTAAATTGAGCCAGCGTAAATCAAGGGCTACCTGTACAAGCTGTTACCTGTGACTTTGCCCGTGTGGATTTTGCAAACAAACCCCATTTATATTCAGTATTTCAACAACCATAGTAATTGTTATATAACACCTACCACTGAGAATCAAATGAACTATTTTCAACTTGATCAATTTTCTGGAACATTTACAAAGATTCTATACTGTAATCAGAACAATGTGTAATAACAAATTTGAATTTAAAACGGTTCGAATATTTGGTTAAAAAATCGAAATATATAAAAATATTTATAACAATGTCTGAAATGTTATAAATTTAATACACCTAAGTATTCAATGAAAACTAAACGTCTAAAAAATTGCATCTAAAATATTACAGTAGAAGCTGTTCTTCAGGTTAAGCCTTAATCCTTTCCCTCTCCCCCATGGGGGGAATTTCCAAAAATCCCTTCTTAGAGTGCATTCTCATGATGTACCCTAACTGTGTACAAAATTTCACCTCTAGGTTCAGCGGTTTGCTCTGGGCGATGATGAATCAATCAGTCAATCACTCAGTCAGTCAGGACAAGTAATTTTGTATATTTAGATATGAATAATTTTCTTAAAATTTCTCTCACATTCAAGTTCACATATTTAATTTTGTATAAATTATAGCCTATTTCTATTATAAATCATGTGCTTATCAAGTAAATATGTGATGAACATGTGTATGTATTTTGGTTCTATGTGCGAATTTGCCTTCGAATCCCATTAAAATTTGGTACCAGAAACATATCGAAATGTACGAGTGTGCCGCATATTTAATTAATTTAAAACTCTTCGGAGGGTTTGTCCATGGTAAATTCCCGCACAATTTTGAAATGCCTTGTTTGTGGAATTGCAGTTTGATTTTTCCCTACGTGTAGCATATATAACTGCCTAGATGTGAAATGGTTTTCCCGTTTCTAACCGTTTAGTTGTCACCGAGCTTTGAAAATAGTGATATTGTATCTGCAGTGTACTTGCTGCTAAACACCTTGCAATGTAAGTGCAATATGCACTTAATCCAGTTATTAAATGCAAATTATATTGCAAATATTATATACTGTGTCCTTCTGCATTTAAACTTATCAATACTTTAAAGGACAGAGACTTAAAATTGAATAACAATGGTGTCAAGACAGTCGTCTATGAAACTCTGTTCAGGAGAAAATTTTTGAATTGAAATCATAGTTAATCAGGGCCTCCTGCCCCTAAGCTTTCCATATCTGGTTTTGACATTTATCTATCTAACCCTGAAGATTCTCAAGATTAAGGAAGAACAGACAAATAGATGGACTACAGTAGGAATTTATAGGTCTCCAGTTTTTCAAATTGCAGTCCAATAATTATTAGCACAGAAATTTGCAGTTGCAGTCCACTACTTTGTAAGAAAAAATACTATTAACTTTCATTTTATTGTAGTAAACATTTATTCATCAAAGAATAAAACAAGACTAACCAAGGTTGATTTTTATTTTTAGTGATATAGTGATTCCTCACTGGAAAATAATTTCTGATGGTCTATTTTATTTATATTGCTTTGTTAAGTAACATTAATTATAAATTTTTTAAGTCAAGATGATGTATTGATATTTTGAATTTTAAAAGTTTTGATTTATTTAACAAATATATCATTATACAATTAAATTAATGTCAATTAATTTTTAGATATAATTAATTGTAATAAAATAAAACTAAATTATTTAACAGCTTTTTTAATATGAAATTTAGCAGAATAAATTATAGAATAATATGAACAAATAATTTTTTTCAGACTATTAGCAAGAATAATAAGATGCTTCAGCATATAAATTATAGGATGAGAGTCATTCTTCAAGATAGTCGGACGTTCATAGGAACCTTTAAAGCATTTGACAAGCATATGAATTTGATCTTAGGTGATTGTGAAGAATTTAGGAAAGTTAAACCTAAGAGTGCAAAACAAACAGAGAGAGAGGAAAAGAGAGTTTTAGGTCTTGTTTTACTGAGAGGTGAAAACATTGTCTCTCTGACTGTAGAAGGTCCTCCTCCAGCTGAGGTATTTTTAGTGATAAAAAATATATTTTTGTAAATTATTGAAGGTTAAATTTTTAATAATGAAGTCATTTTTTATTTATAGGAAGGTTTGCCTCGTGTTCCAATTCCTGGAGCTGCACCTGGACCAGGTATTGGTCGTGCAGCTGGACGTGGTGTTCCTGCTGCCCCTATTGGCACCGCTCCTGCAGGTATAATTGAATCTAAGATAAGTGCAAGTTATTTGTTAATAAGTATATTTTGAAAGCTTTAAATGCTTCTTCTCAGGTCTTCAAGGTCCAGTAAGAGGTGTTGGTGGACCATCACCACAAGTTATGACTCCTCAAGGCAGAGGAACTGTTTCTGCTCCTCCTCAAATCAGACCTGCTGCACCTGGAACTGCTTCGACTCCTCCACCTCGTATGGGAGCTCCACCACCTGGTGGAATGCCTGCAGCAAGAGGTACACCACCTCCAGGAATGATGGGACCACCACCTGCTATGATGGGAAGAGGGGTTCCACCTGGACAAGTTCCTATGGGAAGAGGCATGCAGCCACCACCACCACCAATGGGTCCTCCACCTGGAATGCGTGGGCCACCACCAGGAATGATGAGAGGAGGTAAATATATATTACACAATAATTAAGGAAAAATTTCAATTTTAAATACAAGAAATGTAAATAAATATTTTAAACATAAAGCCACTTTTGACAATTCTCTATATAATTAAGAGTCATTTGCAAAAGTTTTAATCTTAAGGTTAAATGCACCTTAATGTAATGTATTACACAAACCTATGGGATAAAATGCTAGCTATGTTAACTAGCTAATTTTTTGATAGTTAAAATTTTTAGAGAAGAAATAAGATGGCTGACCAACTCTGATTTTAATGTGTATAACTTTTATTCAGAAAGTTTAAGTTTATTGTGATATTGATAAAATATTTTTAAAAAAGATAGATTTTATTATATCAGTAATTAATTTCATTTTGAAAAAACCTAAAGTGTCATGTTAATTGTCAGAGTTGCATGAATCTTACTTATCATAATAGAATAATTATTTCTCACTATATAGTATGCATACTAAAACATTTTAGACAATACTTATCAAATCTACTGATATATCCTTCTGATGAAAAGTATTGGTTCAATAAAATGCAAGATTTGAATTTATTCATCAAAATTTATTTTGTCTCCTTTAACCTCTTGCAACACGTGACGCTTGTCAGACATGAATGTTCCATCACTAGTATCATAGTATCACCCATATCACTGGGCATCTGACTGGCCACTCCCATCATTAGATTCAATAGTCTTGCACTGCAGATACAGTAGAGTCCCGAAAACTCGGCACTCTATAACCCAACAGTCCGGATAACTCGGCCACACCCTGGCAGGGCAAAAAAACCCCTAGTTAGTTTTCATTATAGACAGCTTTATGCCTCTTAAAGTATTTTTCTGAAGTCTGTCTTATCAGGTAAATTACTGTACACTGTGTATTCATAAATTTTCATTTTCATGTAGTAAAGGCTCTATGCCTTCATAAAGTACGTACTTTTCCTTTGTTTAAGGTTATTTGGGCAGTTTATTTTCTGTTGTATTTTCAAGCAAACAATACATACAAGTATAGTACAGTATTTTCTGAGGAAACACTCGTACTTATCCTTTTTTAACCCCATTCCCGATAACCCGGTATTTTCACAAACTTGGCCACCCTTTGGTCCACATTAGGCCAAGTTTTCAGGACTCTACTGTATCAACAAATTAAAGCATATTCAATGATTGTATTATTATTTATGTTATTTAATGATGATATAATTTATATAGTAGACCCCCCTATAAAGCGGGCTCATATAATACGGATTTGTATATAACAGCAAAAAAGTTGCGATCATATTTGTATAAATACGCTAAAAGAGACTCTTATGATACGGTAAAACATCATCGCCGACTCGTGTCGTGACAGGATTGGTCAAATCTGGACCAATAGCGGATATTGCACAAACCGTTGAGTTTAAATGAGCAGAGGACCTACTAAAAACCATTTATTATTTAATTGCCATAAAAATTATATTTATATTAATGATGTCTCCAAAGTTCAGCAAATTTTTCGCAAAAAAATAATTTATCAGGAAACACTTGCCCGCTGTTCGGTGCGCCACTCCACGACGAAAACGAGCTTAAGCAATGGCGTCATCGAATGGTGCACACTCAGTAAGTAATCCTACAATTTTTTGTTTATATTATAGTTTATATGGATTATTCCCAAAAAATTATACATGTTTTGGAAATGTTGAGTCAAATTAGTCTAGAATTGATTAATTTTATGGAAGAAAACCTTTCAAACAGCCATAGTCCATAAATGCATGCCGGGCTGTGATTGGCTCATGTATTTAAGGACTTGTACAACATGAATTTCATAAAACACGGAACATATCTACTGTGTTATAGGGGGTCTATTGTATTTAATGATTGTATTATTATTTATATGTTGGAGACTTTTAAGGTTACTTTTTTAAAAAGATTTTCTAGATTTAGGTTAAGTTTTACCATTTTTATGGTTTTCATTATCTTTTCAAACATTATATTATGATTTTGGTTTGGTCTGTTATCAATTAATTGGTTCTCACTGTTTATAAAGCTATAAATAACTCTAGCACATGTATAGGATGTCATAAGAGGATTCAATCCGAGATTACAACGATTACATGGCACATTCATATATCACTAGACTCTGTGGATTTTATTATGGAATCCCAAATTTTATTGGCAGAACCGTAGGGTTCTGTGAAACACAAGTTAGGAATGCCTAATAAAAATGATACAAAATACTCAAATAATAATCTTTCTTGACAGTTTGATCAGTCAGAAGGAATTTGTGATGCACAACGATTGAAGATAAAAGTCAACACGACCTTGATTTTTGACTGGCTTTGACATGGTCTTTTTGATCTCGCTTCCCATAATGATGCATTTTAAGAATGATTCACCATGAGAAGGTATTTTTTGCTCACTTGAACCTCAGCCACTTGAACACGTTGTTTTGGAAAAATTCAACATTTTTATGACAACTCTAGGAGCAACATGCTGCAAGCCCAAACGATCTTTTAAAATTGCTTGACAAAATCCAAATGATATAGGGACATGTTCAATAATGTCCCTAGTTGTTAAATGATGATCATGAGCACCAAATCTCTGACTTGAGCAATATGTTGTTAATCAGTTTAAGTGGATGGTCTACCAGAGCATGGTTCATCTTTGATGCATTCTCTGTCTTCCTCAAACATCTTTTACCACTTGAAAACTCTTGTTTTTGATAGACTATTGTCAACAAAGGCTTTTTGCAACATTTTTGTAGCAGTAATTCCATTGTGAAAACAAGATTTAATGCATGTTCTTTGCTCAGTTACACTTGACATTTTGAAAAATTACTGCCACAAAAATTCTTTCCACACAAAACAAATGTTTATTTGCAAATGAAATATCTTTCCATCTCAGCTTCAGTCTATGCTTCATCTTCCCTGTCACTTCCAATCAATCCTCTTTTCAACATAGGGTACATTCAAAAAGTCAAACGAGTTAAATGCATTAGTAACAAATTGTTCGAAAAGTAGTAGTCTTGCTCAGTATGCATGTCTGCGGTGATGACGTTTCGAACGAAACTCTAACGAAGGAAAAAGTTAGTTTACTTTATTAGTAAAATGGCACCCGACGATATCGATGTTTCTAAATCTACTCGAGTGTTTAAACTGTGAATTAAAAGGTGAAATGATTGAAATAACTGTCCACCTGAAGCAATCTAAGAAAAATATTTCGGATAAGGCTGCACTAGCAACATTCATATCTTCGATTTTAGAAACAGCCATTTAGTTATAAATGAATTGTTTGAAAAGTCTAACGAAATAAGAATAACGATGACGTCATTCTCGTTTAACTCGTTCGACTTTACAAACAGTACTCATAGTCCTCGCTTCTCTCCACATGTCCAAACCATCTTAATCTACTTTTCTTCATTATCATACTTATAGGATTCACCTTGACTGTTCCTCTCATGTTCTGTCCTTCACATTGCACATTCATCTCAGTATTCTCATTTCTGCTGTCTCCATCTTATTTTTCTGGGCTCTTGTAGTTGCCCACATCTCAGCACTGTACATTATTGCTGGTCATACTGTAGTAATGTATGATCTTCCTTTCATTTTGCAGCTTATTTTCTTATCATACGACTCCCCACTCATCTTTCTCCAGTTCAGTTATCCACTCTGAATTCTATGCTGGATTCTATTTCTGCACTCATTCCTCCATCTCTTGCTACATGTAATCCATGATACTTAAATTTGGAAGTTGTTGTTAACTTTTCACCCTGGAGTTTTATATAACTCTCATCCCTTCCATCAGATGTCATATATACTGTCTTTGCTCTGCTGATCATGTCTCTCTTCCCAGTGCTTTTCTCCATTTCTCTAGCTTCTCTGCCTTATCTCTTGATGTCTTGCACAGTACAATGTCATCTGCAAACAGCATATTTCATGGTGCCTTGCTCTTTACATCTTCTACCAATACATCCATCACCAAATCAAACAGAAACAGGTTAAGGGCTGAGTCCTGGTGCAGTCCAACTTTCACAGTGAATCCCTCTGTTGTACCTACACTACTCTACTTGAGGCATTGTTTTCAGAAACAATTCCTTTACAAGTCTTAGATACTTTTATGATATTCCCTCTATCCTCATACATATCCATATCTCCTGTTTAGGCACCCTGTCATATGCTTTCTCCAGGTCTATGGATACCATGTGAAATTCTGCCTGCATCTCTGTACCTTTCCATCAGCTGCTTTAGATCAAAGATTGCATCTGTTGATTCTCTTCCCAGCATAAACCAAACTGTTCCTGTCTCTTGCCTTAACCTTCATTCCACAGTTTTCTACCAGATCTTCATTGACTGCGACATCAATTTAATTCCTCTTTAATTTCCCATATTCCTGCACATCTCCTTTTCCTTTATAAATTGGCACCAAAATATTTTTCCTCCACTCATCTAGTATTCTCTCTTGCTGCCACATCTTTTTTATAAGATCCTATACAATATCAACACCCTCTTTGCCCAAACATTTCCATACCTCGGCTGGGATCTGATCAGCTCCTGTTGGTTTCGCATTCTTCATTTTTCTAAGTGCCATTTCCACCTCTCCCTTGCTTATATATGCTGTGACTCCTTCATTTGCCTTCCTGTCCTTGTATAGTATTCTTGTATTTTTCTCATCCAGTAGCTTCATAAAATTCATTTATCTTTCCTTTATCTTCTCTCGGTCTTGTAACACTTCACCAATATCATCTTTTATCTGTTTTATTGATGTGAAATCCTTTTATATCTTGTCTTCGCTTTTACAATTCTTATCAGCTGCCTATCCCCATTTTATCTTTCCAATTCATCATAAGCCTTATCCTCTGCCTTTGCTATTGTCACAGCCCCTTTTTTTGCTTGCCAACTTATATGCTTTTTTTTCTTTCCTGTTACCTGATATTTCTCATTTTTTATTCTTTTCCTTTATTACAAATTGGACCTTCTCATTCTACCACTAAGTCTCTCTTTCATTAGGTAGTCCTTTTCCTGATGTTTTTCTCAATATTTTCTTTTCAACTTTTTTTATAATATGACTTTTAAACTCTACCATTCCTGGACATATTCCAGTAACTTTATTCTTTCAAACACTTTTTCCTTAAACTCTATTTAAAATTATAAATGTTAAAATTATAGATGATTGTATTTAAGTAATAATTTCATTATTACTACTGTATATCACAGAAAAACAAAATGTGATCAGAATATTCATACTTAATTTTATCTTTTATCAGTTAGACTTTTTAAAACAAAAAATGCAAAAAGTTTTTGACTACTTTTAGTGACTGCTGACTGAAAATATCTGGCAGTTCTCTGTTCTTTATGTGTATAGTCAGTTCATTACAATACTGGTTTTTCATGTATAAATTTTATGCATATAACTTTGTGTAGGCTACAGCCTGTAGCCAAGGTTTTATAGTATTTTTGTCTATCTATCTATGGCAGGGGTTACCAAACTTTTTTCACAGTGGGCCAGATAACAGATAATGATGAGTGCAGGCCACATAACCATTTTGTTCAATATAGTATACTAAATACACAAAAATAAAGAAAACCAACATATTTATTTACCAATACACAAACACAATCTCTGCAGCAAGCTGGTAATTACTTCTCTTAGAAACTTCATTACAGGTACTCGCACAAAAAGTGCTCTGATATCCAAAGTTGCAAAAAGACACCAAATTTTTAATTTCATTGATTTTCCTAAAATTTATATTACTATCAAATGCAAAATCAGATTGGACCATTTTGGCATTTTTACTTACACTTATTTTAATTTTTGTCTACATAGCAAGTTCATCTACAATCTATGATATTTCCATATAAATAATTATATTTTAGCTCATTCGTGGCACAGTTTGGCAGTGGGTCATAGTTTGGTGTCCCCTGATCTAAGGGAAGGATGATTGGCTGCACTCAGTGGTATTGCCAATTGGAAGGGAAGAGGGAAAGGAAGAGAGTAGAAGAAGGGAAAGGAGAAAAGGTGGAGATCCATAGGTGCCCAGTTCTATTTATTAAACCATATATTTTATTACACTAAGTCCCATGCAGGAGTGAATATATCAGTGTGTACATTAAGAATTAATATTACATATGTAATGCCCATACATACAGAATAAGGGAAAAACAGAGTATGCTTAATAAACATGGTTGGCTTATTATTGCAGTATCTTAATGGTAACAAAAATTTCTTTGGCTGAATCTTTGAAGAGTGAAGGATTGGTGAGTCTTAGTAACTAAAATGTACATTTATATTTTAGTTACTCAGTATTTACAATAATAAAACTGCAAAAAAAAACAAAAACTTGCTTGGGCTAAAGTTAACAGTGAGATGTGTCCCCGACATGTTTGTCCCATAGACTTAACATTGTACTATACTTTTGCCATTTCACCATGACTGAACCTCTGCACCTTTCTCAGATCTCTCCTCAGTGGCATCATCTACAGGATAAGTGCTTTAATTTGATACATAAACTGTACTTTTAGCCCCAGCCATTTACTAAAACTAAGTCAGACAAACTGAAACCTTCTTTCAATTAATATACAGTATATCTATAAAATTCTTTTAGAAACAAAACTTTCAAAAATTTCTCCTTTATTCAAGTGACATTGAGATGTTATTTTAAAATATTTTTCTTATTTTATAATAAGGTTTAATGTTTAATTTTCTAAATTTTAAAGATGATGATATAATGAAAATAAATTTAAATACTTTACAAACAATCTTATGTTGAAATAAAATTTAAAAATTTAAATCTAATTTTTAAATTTTTTTCCAATTTTCAGCACCTCCACCTGGTATGAGACCACCTCCACCTCCAAGACCATAAATATTATTCATGATGATTGTGAAAAATTAAAACCAAATAAAGATTTATTCATCAAACATTGTCTGGTATATTTGCATAACATCATAATAAGAATTTTTTCATTAGAGATGTTTTTACTATGATCAAACCAAATTTTGGGTATGTAAAATTATTTTGAATTGAATATAATAAAAACTTTTAAGAATTAATTTAATTACTATTGATTTTTGTTTAATCAACATTTTGATTTAATTGGTTTTCTTTTATAGCCCAAGGTATGATCTGCTTGATATTTGTTTATCAATTAATGAGTCACTATTTATTTCTATAAATAGTGTCTAAAGTCAGAGAATCAATATTAGATACTATTTATAGAAATCAGAAAACTGAGTACTTCAGTACTCAGTATGGGAGAAACTGCACAAAAGTTATAAATTGTATTTCTCATTAGATATTTATGAACTGAGATATAACTTGATTTACAATTCCATTTATGTGTAAAAATAAATATACAAGTTTCAAAGGACAGTCCCAAAAATTATACAATGTATACATTCTAATTTAAAACAACAAAAATTGCAAATTAAGAAACTCATCAAAATTATTTAAATTGATACATCAAAGGTCCTTTTTTTGTATTTCAAGAAATATGACAAAAAAAAAGATCTTTGAGATACACTCAAACTCAAATGAGAAAGTGGAATGAAAACACAAAATGAAGGTGTAGGTTTTTTGTTGGGATATGTAAAAAATGCTGATGATGATAAAGCCATTAAAAAATTTAAAATAAATTAAATGATCAAAATATTTGATACTTTAAAAACAAACTTGAAAATCTAACTTTATTCTAGTTTTGCTAGGATTTTGATATATGATAAGTTGCACAATTTATTAACATAAGTAAATTTGGATAAGATTTGTAGAGGTCATAAAAAAAGGAATATGTAGCCATACACCAAATGAGTAATCCATAATCAATGCAAGACTGAAAATTAGTTTAAAAAAAAGCTCTTATTGCACTTTAAATAACAGAGGTTTACAGAAACTCCATAATAATACACATCTAATATCCTGATATTTAATTATTTTATCAATATAATTTTTAAAAGTGAGTTTATCATCAAAGATTTTTGAATGATGTAACATAATAGAAGTGGAGTTAATATAAAAAGTAGGTAAAGAAGGATTGTGAATTAAAGCAAAAGACATAACTACAGTTTTTTGTACATTAATTCTGAGATTAGCAGATTTGAATAATTTTTCAACAAGTACATATTGGATTGCATCTTCGGTTTTAGTTTCAACAGGATAATCAGCAGTTTCAATGGCGTTTCTCTCTTCATTATCAACCTTAGTGTAGGATCTTTGGATCAGAACATACCAACTTAACATCAGCATAAGCTACAACTTTGGATTTAAGATGGTGAAGAAGGTTGTTAATATATAATAATAAAAAAGGCCACTTTTATTATTATGTTATGTTGAACACCACATAAAGGAATAAAATCAAGAAATTCATAATCACCTTTTTTTGATTTTTTTACTTTTGTAGCATAAGTTACTGAACCATAAATGAATCACTGGGTCACTATCGTATTCATGCAGCAAGTCAAGAATATTTAGTAAGATGTAATTGTTAGTTAGCATCAATGTATATACAGGTATCCCTCATATAACACAATAGTTACATTCTGAAAAAGTGTCATGTTATGTGAATCCATGCTGTAGAAAACAAAGGACTAGTGCAAAACATGGGGTTAGGTTTCAAAGGTTAGTAAAAGTATACATAGAGGGGCCCAAAAATAACCGGATTTTTTGTATAAAAACTTTATTTATTAACTTTTTTACAAAATTTCTTCAGTCACCTTCAAAGTACTCTCCATTAGATGCGATGCACTTGTGAAGTCTTTTTCCCCACTGTTTGAAGCATCTCTGGAACTCTTCAACCTTGATATCATCCAGTGCCCTTAGTGAAACTGTTTTTACTGCCTCCACATCATCAAAACGCTTCCCTTTTAGATTTTTCTTCATTCTCAGAAATAGAAAAAAGTCGCATGGTCTAGGTCTGGTGAATACAGAGGGTGTGGAACGACAGGCCATCCCCAAGAGGCCAAATAGAGAGTCTCTCGTAAGGCCGTGTGTGTGGGGCTATAGTCATGATGAAGGAACCAGTCACCTGATTGCCAAAGTTTCAGGCATTTCCTTCACACATCCTCTTACAGACGTCTTAACACTTTTTTGGCGGATTTTTTTCAACGTTTTCATCGTTTCGAGATGTTGAAGGACTCCCAGAACTTTGCAGGTGGAACAAAATAACAGTAAGAGAAACACAACACTACGCTCAAACGTAAACCTACAAACTCACACCATTTGGACAGCTGTTTCGTGAAGGTCTCTACTAACCCCATGTAATGGGAGAACTCTCTACCAAGTCTATGAATGGCAGCGTGCTCTCAGTTCAGTTTTTCTTTTTTGGGTCCCCCTCATACTATTCTTTTTTATCATTAAGAAAAGTATGTTCATTAAAGCAATCAATGATTAACTAACAATTGCAATTAAAAGTACTGTATTATGTGCTAATATTAATTTCAGTTAAACAAGGGCATTTTCTTTTTACAAAGTATTGACATCTGAGATTTTTCTGTTGATCTTGGTCAGAAATATCAGCAGTGTTTTCATTTTTTTTATTTTTATCATAAAAAATTTTTTATGAATGACAAAATATAAATATGTAATTAATCGAAAATTTGTTCACTCGAGTACAGAGTGATGTTTCTCCAGAATTTGTGTTTGAGTATTGAGATACTGCCATATTTTGTTTGTCATTTTTATGAATGATTACATACCTACAGTTAAAAAAAAACAAATGGTTAAAACAGAACTGTGTTGTATGAGGGATGCCTGTAACAACATTGCATTTGGATTTGCTTATTCTCGAAACTTAATGATAAAAGACAAAGTTTGTATTAAGTTTGTAGTTGTGAAATGATGAAAAAATTAGTGTTGAAGAGCAAAAGCTTTTGTTAGCAGAGAATAAATTCTATGATATAGATTTCAAAAATCTTTAACATAGTGGGTGAAAGTGTAATAGGATGAAAGTACAGTAGAGTGTCGTTTATCCGAATCAATTGGGGACTGGGGTTGTTCGGATAATCGATTATGTACGAAAAAATAGATTAACCTATCTCATGTTGAAATTTTTCTCCATTGTGTGTCGCTTCGCGTTGAATTTTCGTCAATGTTAAGCCTAACATAAACTTTTTAAAATAATAATTGTGGCTATTGTATCATTAAAAATCGTTTCTTTATTTTTTACAAACAAGATAAATATATTGAAAAATATAAAAACCATAAAAATATACTTTAGAAGTTGATCTAGTATTAAAAAGCTTTGATTCAGCAGGATACACAGTCCTCAGAAAAATATCACATCAAAGTGCCAGTGCTACCAGCTAAAACACACACCAACAAAAAAAATATTGGAGTAGCCAAGATATAGCCAAAGATTGCAGCGCCAGAGCACTAGTGAAAATAAAATTTGCCGACTGGAATGCTTTCGGATAAACGATGCTCTACTGTATTCTTATCTCTTAGGAATTGGACTAATTATCAAACAAAGCTTGACTGAGTAAAAACTTTAGAAATAACAACTGCTGAGATAGGTTTCGACAATTTAAAACAAAAGGCAGAAATTTGATCCAGACTAAATGTAGTGTGTTAAGTAAATTAATAGCTTGAGAGACCTCAGAAAACAAAGAGGATATTGAATATGATTGCAAAAAAAGGTAAGCAAGTTAAAATCAGTGTCGGGAAGAATATTAAGAAGCTTGTGTTTAGAACCTAAATACAGTGGTGCCTCGAATAACGGACTTTCTGTTTGGCCGTTACGTGAGGCAACCAATGGACTTTCTACGAACAAGTGCGAATGATGTTTCCACTCTTTTGCCGTTGCCAATGACAATCTGCTATTTTTATAATATATTAGTATTATTAGTACAGTGGGTGATCGGTTAACGAACATAATCCGTTCCCAGGCTTTGTTCGCTATCCGAATTGTTCGTTAACCGATTATCGATTTACCATAGGTTTTAATGGAGATTTAATTAATTCGTTCTGGAGACTCCCCAAAATAAAACATATATACTTTCTTACTACGTTTATTTATATATAATAATAAAAATACATACGTACACAGTCTTGCGTTTTTATTAGTCATGTTTTTTCAGTTTGAAAGGGTTAAAGAATCTGTTTAATGTCGATTGCTTTTCTCTCTTCTTCAGGATTTTTCGTAAGTAATTAATAGCATTGCAATTGTAGAAATCCCCAAGCCTCAACCTGGTTTGGATGCCATTCTAAGACCGTTGTTCTGACATCCTCACACTTCTTCAAAGGATCTTTAATAACAGATATCGGCATTAATCCTCTTTTTCAGAAGAAAACATATCTCGCCGAGTTTCTTGGTGTTCTTCATTAAAGAGTTCATGGCATTCTTCTGTCGTCAGATCCGTTTCAGGTTCCATTATGAACTCTTCGATGTTCTATATTTCTCAGATGTGATTTTTGTTACTCGTTTAGCTGCTTGAGTCTTCTTGATCATACAGTATTTTTCTTAAAAAAATGAACTGTGGCCTACTGTAGACTTATAATGCCATACTGCCCAGCAACATTAGGCATCTTCTGCCAACTCTTTACCTTGCTATTATATTCTCACCTTACAAAAAAAAAAAAGACGCAAAACTTAACGAGTGCCTACCCGACAGTCTCACGAATACATAAAAGAATTATTTTCTCATAAAAATAAAATGCTGGAATTATAAGGGAGAGTTTTAAAGTTTGGAGGAATACTATCCGATCGGTATATACCGGCTTGAGCGTAGATTTCGAAGTCTCCCACACTCCAAAAAGTTTTGAATTGTTGCCCGAAGACAAGGAAAGTCCAATCGGTATTCATTATTTTATGTCGCTTCTTCTTGTGTTTGTTCTGTGGGGTGTTCGTTGTCCGAACATAAAAATCTTTCGCAAAAGTGTTCGTTATCCGATCTGTTTGTTAACCGATCACCCACTGTATATCTGAAGTACAGAGCTGTTGGGATTTGGCTTGCTCCCTTGTTTATTATGTACATCACCTCAGTGCAGGGTATTTACATTTATTAAAGTGTTGTGCAAATCATGGCTTCTAAAAAAAACATAAAGGTGATTTCAATTGAAACAAAGCAAAAAATCATCAGAAGGAGTGAAAGTTGACAAAAACTTCCTTGTCAAATTAATTTTAAGACTAATATTAATTGTTTATGTGAAGAATTATAAAATGCCACAGGGAAGAGAGCATTGCAAAATGTTGGGGGATTGAACAAAGTTCCAAATACAACATATATCAACTGTCATTTTACTTTCCCAGGTGTTATGTATATATAACAAGGGAAAGTATTGGAATCATGTCAAATTTGACCCTCAGAGTTTTTTGCAAATCCCCATGTTTTGAGACCCCTTGAACCCAAAAGTTAAAAGAAATAGAGGAAAAAATTCCATGGATATGTGTTTGCATCTATTTTGTTTAATATCTCAGGATGAGGTAAAGATTAAGAAATGAAATTTGGTATGTAGCATGTGTATAAGGGGCATTGATTCTATTAAATTTTGGTGGTGAAAGGTCAAAGGATGGAGAAATAGAGGGTAGTTGCATGTCATATTTTGTGTGGGGTTGGAATGAAGATTTTACTTGTTAGCATTTATTTGTTCTTTATAATTCTCATCTCTATCTTTCGAATTAAGTCTTTTGTTATTTTATAGTAATTAAAAATATAGTTTTTATAACAAAATCTCATAACAGGTGGTGCCCCACACAATTTTATTTATTACAGTTAATAATATAAAAGTTACTTTTTAAATAAAATCTCATAATAGCCAGGAAAGTTATGCAATTTGTTGCTACATTTAAAAAATTTTAAAACTTAATTATGCTGTATTATGAATTTGAGAGAAAAATCTGTACTATTAAAAAATTTTTTTGAAATATTTTCTCTTCTCAAATCCCTCGTAGTTTGAAGGCAGGTGTTAATGAACTGATTTAAAAAAATACTATTTAAATTAAAATTATTACTTTTCATTTAATAATTTTGATTGCATAACAAAACAATTTTTTTTCCAGTTAATATTTTTATTAAGGGACAAATTTAATAAATTTATAGTTTTATACATGGATTATACAGGATTTGTTAATGAATGATGATTTTTTTTCTGAACCGTTTAATAATAGCATACAATGTAATTTTTCTTGTTATTAATCCATAACTGTAAAATTATTTTGACATTTTTAAATTTTAATAATTCAGCAATTATTAAAAAAATTGCTGAATTATTAAATTATAACTGTTAATTAGAAAAAGAACTAACTAAAAAGTAGGAGAAACAATAGCATATCTGCATAGTAAGTCAAATGCCACTTTTTATTTTGTTAATGTGCCATACCGTAGTTTGTGCAAAGTCGGTCGGGAACATCTCGGAATTTAAAATAAAAATGTTAGAGGGTTGCGGCCCAAGCTTGTAAGACAAACAGAAGTATACATCCAACATTTGAACTCCAAGTAAAATACATTGCGTTGCAGATTTACATTGTACAATGCATCATGAGACTTGTTGTAAGGTGCGTCCCATAAATATAAATGCATAACTTGTTATGCAAATAAAAGCTAAACTAATTATCATATAACAAAACCAATTTAATTTTGAGGTAGTTACAACTTACAAATAAACATGTTAAACAATATAATTGCATGATTTTTTAGTAACTTAACAATAAATTAATTTAAATCAAAATCATGTTTCTCACTGTCCCAAGAATATAAAGGCATAATACAAAATCACTAGAACAGCAGACAGTATTGTTACAAATCTTTAATAATAACCAATACACTTCCCCTTTTTCATTATAACTTTGTAGATATGGTGTGACATTGATTGTATGTTTTTGAAGGACTATTGTAGTTATTTCTTCCCAATGGATATTAATTGCATGTTTTAATTCATCTACACTGTTAGATTGGCACCTATTAGCATATACAACTATAGCTAAGATTCCTCAGAGTTTTCCATTGGATTCAAAATCTGGGGAACGAGCTGTCCAATCAATAACTAGGACTCCATTATTTAAAAACCACTCATAAGTTGATTTAGTTGTGTGGAGCGTTATTACGAGCATTATCTTGTTGGAAAAACCAAAGATTTCCAGCAATTATAACCAAGGCAAAAGATAACTTTCTAACATGTCTTGATAGTGATTTGTATTCATTTGGCCACTGAGGAATGCAATATTTGTCTTGTCAAACCAACTAAACCCACCCTCACTGAGCCCTCCTCCTTGCTGCCATTTTGAAAATATTTCTTCCTCACCCCTCAAATCATGCCAATAACAAGTCCAACCATCTGGTTCATTGAGATTAAACTTCTCGTCACTCCAGATTATATGCTTCCGTGTGTCTGTCCATCCCATTTTCTCCTGTGCCCACTGCAAGTGCTTTTGTTCATGGATGGGGGTTAGTGACAGTGCAGGCTTTTTCTTCTTATAGATGAGATGCTGACATGTACTGTACTAACAATTCTTCCAATTGTAGATTTTCATACATTAAGCTCTGATTTTGATGCTAGTTTTCATAAAGATGTTTTGTTGCTTTTGATTTTTCTCTATTTGTAAGCTTTGAAGGTCGACCGGTTGACTTCTTTTGTCTGTATTTGTCTCCAAGCTTTATGAAATTGTCAATTACAGTTGAAGAATGATTAATTTTTTTTTCAATTGCTTTTGCTGAGTAATTTTCATCTCTTAAAGCTGAAATCTTGCCTTTATCAACATCTGTTAAGGGTTTTCACATCCCATGATGAAAAACAATCCATTTACATAAATACATAACAAAAATAAACATTTGAAATACATGGCAGTTATACTGTAATACTGTATGACCTATTGTTAGAAAATCGAACCTGCCTTTATATTTTTGGGACAGTGAGAAACGTGATTTTGATTTAAATTAATTTATTGATAAGTTGTTAAACAATATAATTACTTTATTTATAAGTTGTAACTTCCCCAAAATTAAATTGGTTTTGTTATATGATAATTAGTTTAGCTTTTATTTTGCATAACAAGTTGTGCCTTTATATCTATGGGATGCACCTTAAAATGGTGGATGTACTGTACTCAAGAATGACAAAGGTGACTAGCAAGAGTAAATTAATTAAACAACTTTAAAATGTTTATAGGATGTTTAAAACACCAAATAATTATTTTTGATTTTAATTAGCATTGTGACTCCTACCATATGATATAGTAGTAGAAAAAGTCCAATGCACTTTGTAAATTTATAGAAATAATTTCCCAAGTTGTTTTCGGATTGTCACCTTTGTACAGATTTATAGGCAAACAAATCATGCTGTTGATGATAGATGCCACGAAAGAACTGACCTACTTCTACAGTATTATAAGTTATTTTATGAACCCAGTTATAGAAATTCTATGGATGCTTCACATCACTTGCAAAAAATTTAATAATTTCTGGATTAAAATCATTATTTTTCACAATGTTATTTATTAAACAAATGCATAAATAATCATTATTGTGATAAAATATTCATTGATTTTAATTTAACCAAAACACAGAAAAATGCATAAGTTTGAGCCGAACTTCTCTCAATGCTCGATGTTCCAAACACTGTTGTCAAATTTCTAAGCTTCCAAGATGGTGGTGCTAGATGTTCAAACTTCATGTTTTAGAGACAGAAACTTCAATTGCAACTTCTCTGTCGAGTAGGAATCCTGTATATAATACTTTTGAGACTACTGGCTCAATTTGTTTACAAGCATTTTACAAATAGTTAAACAACAGAAATATTAGTAATGAGGAGTAAAATGAGGTTTCAAATTTTGAGGTGACTATGGTATCATTTATTCTTAATCTGGCATTAGATCCAAAGTAGAACTTAGTGGTTATACCTTATGTCATGATTTTGTTGATTACAGTAGACTGGAATGAAGCTTCTACACAATGTAAATTATACTTATCTATTTATAATCAAATACTGTATATCTGAGAGATGGAAGAATAAAACAAAACACTTGCTTAGATACTTTTAAGCTGGAATAGAATGGAATGTATGCATTTGTAAAGTTGACAAATCCTGGTCATATTGCACCTGATGTGTAAGCGAGGGCTTTGTTGTAATATCTCTTCTCATTCTGCCTTTATCTGTTGCATTTAATATATATACAGTACATCATATCTTTTAATGGCAATTATTGTACTTATTTAGCTTAATCAACAAATTAAAATCATTAAAAGATATGGAAATTTAAATAACAAATAAACCTTAAGTAAAGAAATGTGTAAAGGATGTCAAAATAACTAACTACATACATACAATTAACTACAATTTTAAAATTTTCTTTTGCTTTTATTGTCAAATTGAAACATTGTATTAATGTTAGGCTTGTCAAGACACTGCAATTGAGATTCGTGACAAAATTTAACATAGCACACAATGCCTACTTACAAAATTAACAAACAAAATTACCGTTTTGCTTTCCATAATTTAAATTATTCTAAATTAACACAAACTTCATACACTCGATAAAACATTTCATTTATCACAGCTTGGTAAATGTACAAAATTTAAAATAAAGTATCTCCGATTGTTCTTTTTATCTTGGACCACGATTTAAGTCGTTCCAAAATTGGTGTACGGCTTTGGTTGTAAAAAGGATAATTTTTTTTTTTTTTTTGACTCTGCTTAAAGCATTGAATCATCGCATTGAAATCGAAAGAAATGCCAACGACCAATTGGTGCCAAAAAAGTTCGATCTGCAAAATTTCAGACAAAATCATCGTCAAAGAACTGTTTTGCTTTGCGCCTCTTGGAGATAATTCTTTCTAACAGCTTCTTCAGTTCGGAAACCACCAACACCGACGAGGCTATCGCTACCAATATCAGAACATCTGAAATGAACATTTTAGTAAACGAGATTATTATATTAAAAGATATAAACATTCACCATTTTATACAGTAGTGCTTCCAATAATTAAGCATATATAGAATGAATTTGTTTGACCAGTTATTTTACCAGTCAAACAGAAAATAACACCAAAATCTAGTCTGAAGCAAACTTCAAGACTAGTATGAATTAATAGATTTTGACAAAGTGACAAAATTATGTTACAGCTAATTCTGACTTTATCCACATGATTATGGATAAATTGAAAAAACTAGGGTTGCATTTTATCTGCATTTTCTGCAAGTTGGATGTATAAAGACATTTTGCTTTCTAAATGAACTAGCATTTATTTATTGAATAAAAAGATGAGATAAATGAAAATAAATGTTGCAGCTTTAAAGTATTTTGATTGGTATTTGGTAAATCATTAGTAATAAATTTATTTGTTTAATTTTTTTCAATTAAAATTTACTAGAGGAACTCTATTTTTAATGTTTGTATATTTTTGTGTAATCCTGTGTTTTTTTTTAAGACACCAGTTGTAATTAATACAAATCCTCACCAAACACTTAAATTTGTATCAAAATAAACAATCTCAGTGATAAAATATACATTTTTTATTTGTATATTAATCTTTTGTTATGGGTGTTATTTTTTGGGGAGGATATCAATCTCCTTGTGACATTTCCTTTTGTTTATGCAATAAGTAAATAGGTAGATGACAAGAACAAGCCAGAAACAAAATGCTCACATTCACAAAAAGATAATATTTATATTCAGCTCTATCTGAACAACAGTAGATAGCCTCCATATTATTCTGATAAAGCATTAACTTTATTGGAATAAAGTTTTGTTTTTGGATAATGTAAGTGACTTGATTGCACTTTTTGAGAATAAATTAAACTAACTATAATATGAAAAATAATTTTTTACTAATTCTCAATTTTTTGTCAAAATGAATTACCAAAATATTAATGTATTCATTAATCATTTAAATACTGTAATTTTAAATACAAAAGACAATAAATATAATTTTACAAGCTTACCAGTCACAGGTAAGGCCTCGGTTTGAAATATTTGCTGTAAAGGAGGAAAGTAAATGACCAACAACTGTCCAATGACAGAACCAGTTACAGCTAGAAGGAACATTTTGTTACTAAAAAGGCCAATAGTGAAAACAGATTTTGTCTGAAAAAAGAAAAAAAATTTGATTAAAATTAAATATTTATTAATCTGTTAAATCTTCAAAATGAAAAGATATTACCTGAGATCTACAGCTAAGAGCATTGAACATGTCAAAGAGAACAAAACAAGTAAATGTCATTGTTGTATCTCTTGGTGTAATTTTATTGTCACTCATCTATTTTAATAGAAAATAAAACTAAAATTAATCTATATCTTCCTGTTATAAATTTCTCATATATTTTACAAATCTAAAAATGATATTCACTGAACAAGAGACAATATATTAAACTAACACATTCTAGATCTTCAACTCTTCATCATATCAAAATCTAATTATTGGCTAACAAACTTTAATAGCATTAACACTACTGAACATTTACGAACCTCTCTTCGAAAAACCCAGAATGTACCAGTTATGATGATAAGAGATGATAAAATTACATTGAAAATGAGTTCGCGATTAATCATCGGTTGCTTTACGTCACGAGGCGGCTGTTTCAGTACGTCGTGATCAACGGGTTCTACTCCCAAACTGCAAATACATTTAAAAATAAAAAATTAATTTAGAATCATTCAAAGTTAGTACAAATGATATGTATACCTTTGTGCCGGAGGGCCGTCCATAATAATGTTAATCCATAATATCTGCATGGCATTTAACGGATTTGGAATATGCATAAAAGTGGATATTGCAACCAGAGATAATGCCGCTATACTCCTATTTAAAAAAAATTATTTATTAGCAAATCATAAATCTAGTAATAAATTTATAAATGATTTGGTAAATACAATTATTCATTATTAAAAATTACATATATCTAAATCAAAATTTATTTTAAATAAACTATCAAGTTGACAGCCGAGGCATCAGCCAACTGCTCTGCAGGACCTGGAATCAAATTGAGACACCCAACAACCCCTTTGTGGGCCTGAATGAACTCACCATGGGTATGATTAATAGGCTCTCTTAGTACTAACAGGGCAGAAGGAGGAGAAAAAAAACATGGTAGTAATAGCCAAAATTTTGTTTTGGTAAGTCAATAAAAATATTTTCTATAAAATGAGAATTTTGGAGTAGAAATTCTCTTTAATTCTATATTTCAAAGATATGTTGAAAACACCAAAATCAAACTATTGTTTGTTTGTTTAGTTATGGCAATGCAACACTTGAGTGTTCTGCCTAGGGGGATGCTTCCCGGGGTCTTTTTAAGAGAAACTGGCCCCTATTTAGGCGTTACAGATGTGGAGAAAACCTGGAAAACTCCACGTGGCCAACCCGTCCCAGCGAGGCACAAACCCACGACCGAACTCCCAGTTCAGGGTACGAAGACCGCTCAGCTACTGGTGGACCCCAAAATCAAACTAATAAACTGTTGTCAAGTCAGCATTTTATTAAGGGGCCATCCATAAATTACATAAGGTATTTTGGGGTGGGTGGGGTCAAGGATTTCTTATGATTTCTTACTCGGGTAGGGGGTTATAGATCTTGTCTTACGTAATATTCTTATTTTTATTTTTTGATCTCATTGAGTGGTGGCATTTAGAATTTGGCTTCAATTTGGCGGTTTCTATTAAGAATGCTCGTTGTCTTGTGTGTCTTGATAGAGTAATAACACTAGCAGATTCATGCTCTAAACATTTTTTGTCATGGGAGAAAGGCTGTGTGGTGGTTTCTCTCTCCTTTTTTATTAGAATAAGTACACCACTCCTTAGGGTGTATAACACTAAGAATACATAAACCAAAATACATGATACAAAGTAAACATAAAATTAGTATTTGGCTTTTAGTGAAAACTAAAATGTGAAACTAGATATTAGAAATTATAAATAATCTTTTCTTCCATATTTTTTGAACATAATTGTAAAAAGCATGAAACAGTGGTTTCTGAACAAGCTTATTGAGTGGACGTGGCCACCTGAAACCAAGTGTAAAAATTTCTAATTTCAGAATAAGTCTATCTTGATCGTAAATTGGACAATGATAGATCATATGGTCGACGGTGTCTAGGTTTTCTGTAGAGCAAAAGCAAGAAGCAGTTTCTGCCCAGTTATACATTGCCAGATAGCTTCTAAAATTACCATGCTCAGTAAGTAGTTGAGCAGTAGCAGACACTAAATCTCTAAGTAGTGTTGAATGTAGGTTCTCATCACTAGGAAAATAAAGTCTTGTTATTCTACCAGTTTTACTGCTCAACTACTTTTACTGATTCCACTTTTGCATAGTGTTGTCACAAATATAATTTTTAAGGCTGCTACTTGAGAGAGGGATGTGAGTGTATTCCAAATCAGTGTCCTTTGCAGCTGACTTAGCCTCAAAATCAGCTTTTTCCTTTCCTAGTATGCCAGTATGGCCAGGAACATATATAAAAGTTACCTTATAAATAATAGTACATATTAATTAACTAATTAATAATTATATATTTTGGACTTAAGGTTTTTAGGGTTTCATAAAAAAAATGTTTTTGGTTAAAATCTTTCTGTAAAATCATGCCAAAATATTATGTAAGATAGGGAAGGGGGATCAAAGAAAATATTACGGTTTCTTACACAGGGGTGGGTGGGGTCTAGAATGGCTGAAATCGCCCTTAAGTAATTTATGGACGGTCCCTAAACATAGTAATTTTTAACAAATTTAAAACACTTCACTTTATTGTCTATAAGCTGAGCCAGCACTCCAAAAATTGGCTTGCCTCAGGCAGTAAGTTTATGCCACACTTTTTCTCAGTTGCTGGTAAAGTGAGGGCAAAGGAAAGGCAATAACATTTTATTTCATTTCTATTGCCACAAATCTATAAAAAAAAATTTTCGTAATATTTTGTGTGTGATTATTTATTACAGACAGAAAACAAAAACCATTTTTACATAAACACATGATAAATGCAATGCAGTTTTAAACAATACATTAAAAAGAGAAACATTATGTAAATCAATTTTTTCTGTTTGGTTGATAATATATCTACTTCTGTAAACCTTTCTTGCACCATTGAATACAAATCATTTTTAATCTATTTTAATTTTGAAAAAGATTATTCTCCACTAACAATGGACACAGGAAGGATTAAAATAATTCTCAATAATATAAAAGCATTTGGAAAATTTTCAATTAAATTATTTTTGTCAATATAATTTAAAACTTTTCATGGTGACATTTTATTTTTAAAAATAATTCTAAAGTTGACTGAATAAATTCAATGGGTCTATATTGGAATCGTTATCTACCATCAATCTCATATGTATATCGTGACAAAGATTCTGAAGTTATATTTTAAAAATTATTGGCCAACAGTGGAATATCACATGAAATACAAAATAATTTATTGTAAGTTTTCAATTGGAAAAATTTTTCCTACCAGAATTCTCTATAATCAAGTTTGAAACCAAGAACTAGAAAAAACTGCATTTGTTTGTCTGACTTTCTGAAAACTGTTAGTGCCAGTGTACCTGGCATGGCACAAAATAAAAACAATAAAGTGCCAATTGATATATTTATACTAAACAATTATTAAATAAGCCAACTAAGTAAGTTATTTACTTAATTGTTGTTCATTGTAGTAAATAAAAATTTTAACATGTGATCTAGAAATGTCACCTTCTTGAAAGTGCTACCTGAGGCCTTGCTGCCTCATCTCATGCACTGGCTCTGTCTATAAGAATGATTGATCTGGGAAATTAATTTTTGTTGTTTCTCATACCAATGATATAATACTAAATTTGTTCCTAATAAACTGACAAGTTCCACTGCAAAAATTAATGGTAGATGATGCAACAATTATTACAAAATGATCAGTGAATACTTATAAAGTGCAGAGAATTCATTATCAGGACCCCAATTCATTCCTAGACTATATACACAGATGGTTCGTTGCCGAACCTGATACCAAACTGTTGCAAAAGTTTCTTATTGATTCTGTACAAAATGATATCAGGTTCCAAATCTCTATCTCCCGAATGGATCAGCAGATCAAAAAAGAAAAAGGGAAGTCTGCAGAATGCAATAAGCTATCTATCAATACCTAATTCATTGAAATCTAGGAGGAGTTCAGCTAAAAAAAAAATATNAATAAACAAGGTTTGTAGCACTGCCAAAGAAAAATAATTTAACATATAAGGTTAAATAGATTCAAAAGTTCAAAAAGCCAAATAAACATAGACAATGAGCAACATAAACTTTTGAACCCAAGCTTTTAGTAGTGACAAGCATGACTCTCCATACTGTGCATATAACATGTGATGGATCTAACTGAATCTAACGCCATTGGCTGTCAAAAATCAAATAATAGCTCACTTTTCAATTCTGGTGTAGTTTGATATGGGTGATACCATTTTGTAAAATGCATGGTAGATGCAAATGTAACCTGGCAGAATAACTATTGGCACAGGGCTACATTACTCTATACTCTTTCAGTATTCAGTATTATTCACATTGATTTGAATAATAACAATACATTAAAATCAATCATTAAGATCAGAATTTTGTAAGCTAATAAATTAATATATAATTTAATCGCTTAATTGGGACAGTAGCTGAAAAGAAATTTAGCAATTTTTGATATATTTTAGGGATCTTTCGAAAATATGTAGACACTATGTACACTAATGTTGTGTAGGCCTAATGGTTGGCAGAGACAAAGCAATTTTGACTTTTGCTTGAGCAGTTCAGTTTTTCCGGAGAGGGTAAGCATAGTGGGACATATCACATGGGATCCCATCTGAGGCGGTCCTGAATTCAAGCTACTGACCCTGTTCTGGATTGGACCGAACGATCCCTTTAAAAGTGAAGGGATCCCCTGACAATTTTTAAGGTCTCTCGACTGAGTTAGAAAACAGCTAGAGTTCCTTGAAAGGTATTGTGTGCATAATTACATCTAGATTAGGACAGCAGCCATCTGATTGTTCAGACCAGCATCTGGAGCTGATGGATTCTACAGACACTCCCAATGAAGTAGCCTGTCTCCAAATAAAGGAAACTATGCTCAAAGGAAGACTGTAAGGTGACTTTTGGACGAACTCTTTCCTTTCTCCCTTTTTAGTTAGAATATGTTCAAACTAAAAAGGGAGAAAGGAAAAATCGTTTGATCAGGAACAAATCGAACAGTTAACCCTACTAGTATGTCACTACTAATACTGTATTTGGCAACATTAGCATGATGTGAATCAGTTATCTATTGTTGTGAGATCAATAAAAATATTAATTTGTACTGGAACTAGAAAGAATTAATCAAAATTATCACCTTTTTAAATATTCCAGCAAATAATTTAATATCGTAAAAACGTTTTCGATCGTCTTTAATGATCTTCATCAGTTAAATGATAAAGTAAAAAGAACATTAAAGAAATAGAACATAAATTAAAATTACGAAAAAATAATAACTGCACATGCGTTTGTAATGATGAGCACTTAACGGAATTAATATAATATTAGGGATATAAGAATATAAAAAATAAATAAAAATAAAGAGCTCAACAGTTTTCTATTAAAAATTAATGTTTTGTAAAAATTACAGTTTATCTTCATAGAATGATTTCCATGCTGTAGATAGAGAGTGGGCGTCCGTATGATTGATACAAGTAGTTTTCCCTTGGGCTTTATAAATCTCAAGTTTTTCGAGATGTTTGATGGAGTGCTTGTTAGACGTGGGTCTAATGATAGAAGCTTGCTCCCATATAACCTGAACTCCTTGCTGGTTGGCTTGCAACTCCTTGCTGGTAGTATCTTACACCAACCAGCAAGGAGTTGAGGTTATATGGGATTTTATAAAGTATACTACATGTTTAAGTATATTCTGGTTCAATGCAGAACTCAGATATTTTGATGCGAGTGCTTCCCTGTGAATAATGCAATGGATTCACAGTGCATCAGAATCTTTGCTTCAAAAGAGTGCATGCAATCCTCCATAACATCCAGACATAGAACAAGCATCATCAGTAAAGATACCAATGCATTTGGTCTACTCCAAATTATTTTCAAAAATAAAAATATCAAGGATCTCGAACAAATCATGCCTTAGCACCAACAGTGATACTTCTACAGAAGAGAAAGTCTTCTACAATGTTATCATCATCTATAAACTGTACATAGCAAAGCAAGTGAGCATCATTATTATCATCTGTGTTCTCATCCAGCTGCAACCCAAATTCCTTCCCTTCTATTTTTTTAATAACTGAACATTGGAGGTCCTTGACTATGTATGTGCTGTATTCTGCGACTGATAGTGTTATTGGACAAATGCACTTTTGAAAGCTGCTACCCAGCAGACCCACCGATCATAATGTTCACCATATCTACAGCAGCCAGTAGAATGAGTTTTTCTGCAATGGTATGAGGCTTTTTACATTTTATGATTCAATTCTATGTGCCACCTTTATTACTGAGTTAATGATTTGCATCAGGTCTGCTAGATATTTTATCTTATCACATTAAAAGTGGAAGTAAAATTATGAAAATTTTATATTATTTCACGGTGCCCTAGGGAACCGCGGTGCACACTTTGGAAACCGCTGCACTATAAAAATGGTTTTATAGTTTAAACACACATTTAACATAGATAAGTTAAAACTAAGGACATTAAACAAAGGTTTTTATCAATAAAAGGATTGCCATATTTCGTGGCATATGAGACATACTTCTCCCTCTAAAACATTTGTCTCAAAACAGAGTGCATCTATATTTCATTTTAAATCATGCGAAGGCAACCATAACTAATTAAAGAAGACAAGGGATACATTCTGTCTAGTGAAATGAGATCTTTAATGCATCTGGTTTCATTTAAGACAGGTTAGTACTCTGTGCACGCACTAACTGGTATTGTAATCCCACATTTTTTCACACAAAAATTCTCTAAATTTCATTTCAATTAATGTACTGTACAATAAGATACTATAATTATTTTCAACAATGCATAATTTCCTTTAAAAAATGTTCCCAAAAAACAGCTGCATATTATATGTTGGAAAATACATTAATTCTCAGTAGGTTCTTGAAAACACAAGAAGACAAAGAGTAATTGAAAATGAAGAGATAATTCAAACAAATGAAAAGAAAGATTCATCAGACTTAGCAAAATATAAAACTGTAAATTACAAAGCAAAGTCAGTTAAGGAAATCGTATGTTGTTTCATCAGTGGGCATATGGATGTCTGAAGTTGCTACATCAAGAGAACAGCCGAAGAACTTTCAAACTGTCAGTAACAGCAAAATGATGTGTCTTAAACATTACTATTAATGGTCAAAAAATGTAACCTGTACTATGTGTTGTTCTGAATGCATTTCAAGCATTATATACTAATTTTTCTACCATGTTGGTTATTTCAAACACATTTAATTTGAAAATGCCTGTCCTCATAACTTAATTCTCTATTTCTTATTTTTGTATTTAACTTTTGGTTAATGCATTTAAATAAAATAAAACATATATTATGTAATAGAAATTAACTAAAAATACATGAATTTTTAAAAAATACTTTCTGTGTATACAATCAGTTTCAAAAAATTTTTCCAATTTTTCTCCTAGAGCAGGGTCGGCAACCTTTTGAGTCAGAAGAGCCAAAATTACAATTTACTAAATTTCAAAGTTTTTAAAGAGCCACAAAATTTTTTCTTGCCAACAATAAATAGTACTCGCATAAATACAGTAGAGCGTCGTTTATCCGAATCAATTGGGGACTGGGGTGGTTCGGATAACTTATTTTTCGGATAACGAATCATGTACGAAAAAATATATGAATTTATCCCATGTTGAAATTTCTCTCCATTGCGTGTCGCTTCGCATTTATATTATTTTCTGGAAA